TAATTAACAAAAAGTAATAAAAATAAAATTAACAAATAACTTACCATTTAAAGAAAGAAGCTAAAACATGCCTACAAACATCCCCCACAGTTCTGTAATTACATATTTCTTTGAGCGTCCTAGTCTTGATCTTTCAAAAACATTACACATGAGGTATTTAGCTTGCAACAGTTTTCGATTCTCATGAGAGAGTATGAATATATCTAGAGAAATGATATACCTTATATTCTCGGTAGATGTATAGATTGTAGTTACTTCAGTCAGGGAGGAGATAGGTGCTCTGTTTGAGTTCCTGTCCTGACCTCTCTCAATGATGAACAGTGATGAGGAAGCTTAACCCAAAGAAACCCTTTCCTCCCCAAGTTGCTTTGGTCATAGCATATCATCACAGCAGTAGAAACTCTAACTAAGACAAACCAGGAATGGAAACAACATAAATGACCAAGATAATTCTGTGGATACATTAAGGCAATTCTTTAAAATTTAAAAATAAAAATTTTAGTATATAGCAAAATCCAATAAAGACTCATTTAGCTTTGAATTAAAAATAGCAAAAATAATGAAATGTCTAATTCCTATCAGTAGTTTTAAATACCTCTGCTATGATAGTGTCATGGCTATTGAGTTTTGGAGGTGGGCTTCCAATTCCATTGTCCTAATTTCATTTCTTTTAAATAATCAGGTTACTGAAATTAACCCCCCCATAAAAAAGAAAAAATGAAAAGAAAGAAAACAAAAAACTAAAACCCCAAAAGCTGGTGTATATTTTTTTTGAATGGCAATTGGGAAAAGGAATGAAATGACATTGCATGATGTATGAAGCTCTGTTTAGGAAACACAGAATTTTTATCTGTATTTCCAAAGGATTTTGCCTTTGGAAAAGTTAGCAATCACCTCAAGATGCTTTCCAGCCAGTGACTCCTGTTTGGGAGGAGAGGGACTGTCACGTTTCTGACCACTTCTCACTGTTCTTCACTAAGACTAGTCTGGTTAGCCTAACTCATCAACTTTACACAACTTTTGAGTCATTTCAGTTAACAACTTGCCTAGATCAGGCTGATCTACAGGCACATCTATGGAGGCGTTGTTTTGATAGTTGATTGCTGCAAGAGAGCTGAGCCTAGAGTAGGTGGCATCATTTTTAGGCAGGTAGTTTGGGCTGTATTAGTTAGTGAGCATCATTCCTCCATGGTTTCTGTTTCCAATTTCCTACCTTGACTTCTGACCATGACTTCCCTCAAAGATGAGCTGTAACCTCAATGTGTAAGCTGAAATGAATGATTTGGGTCATGATACTTGTCACAGCAACAGAATGGGAATGGTAATAGAGTCTTCATGTTAGCTGTAGGAAATATAAGCCTGCTTCCTGAAGAAATAAACCTTATGGATTGTTTTTGGAAACAAAATATATATTGATATGTGGACACAGTATCCCAGTAATTTCCAAGCCTGAGGCTCATTTTCAAAACAAAATAAAAAACAAAACACAAACAAACAAAAAATTCAAGTGGCACCAAGCCAATCTACTCTCTCTATAAAATTAGCTACTAATTGGAGTACAGAAGCAATAGTCAAAAGAGCAGTTCACTTAGTATTGGGCCTTTCAGAATAACAGAAAGATGATAGAACAATAAACAGCATCCCTACAGATTCCTTAGGGGATCTGCTGTGATTATCTGTAAATACTTTAAGACTAGGAAAATTTCATAATGCTGATTTTTTAAATTAAACTTTAATGAAGGGATTATTTTCAACCATACTATTTTTATCTTCTTTTAAATTATACCTTTTTTTTCCCAACCAGGGAGGTATCTGAGACAGGATATCATTCTGCAATATTGGCTTGTTGGTAACCAGCAGACCAGATTGGCTATCAGCACTTGATAATCCTCCTGTTTCAACTATCTGAGTTCTGGGATTACAGGCATTAACGCAGTGCTTGCTCCAATTTACATTGCACTTTCATGGAGTTGGGAGAAAATTAACTTTTATCCTTTGTTTGATAAGGTTTTTGTAATATAGTACGAACAACCCTGAAGTCATGTTCTTCCTGCATTGATTCCTCAGTGGCTGGGAGTACAGGTCTTTTCCACCTGCCACACTGAGAGACGGTTTTCAAAAAAGAATTTAATACTTTTTCTTGATTGCTTGTTTCCATCACGTGGTTGTTTTGCCAGAAGTTACCTCTCCTGGCCCAGTATCTCCATAGTTTATCCTAGTTCACCTGTAGATATGGGGTTCTGTCAGAATTAAGGAGCCCTGGTCTCTCACTGTTCTGCTCCCTGCCTTAGAAACCTCACCATGCTAAAAGAGAAAGAATTTGGGATTAAGAAAAAGTGACTATAGGATACATTAGCTAAAGAGACTGGATTTCTATAGTTATCATGAAATTTAGTTTTAGTTCATAGACATGGATAATTCTTAGTGTTTATATTAGTTTCCGTCATTACAAATGACAGGGCAGCATCAGGAACAAATACTCTAATGTGTCTTTACTTCTGTTTTGTTTCCCCATTTAGAAACTGTAGGAAGAACCATGATAGCAGGATGAATCAATTTAACCTTATTGGTGTCATCTAACACCAGAAAGGAACAAAGAAGAAAAAAAGTCCTATATTTTAAATCCAGTTTGATGATGGATATGAGTGTTTGCACACAGAAAGATGCCTTGGCTATGAAAGTTAGTGTTTCAAACCATAGACCCACAATTTCAATCCCAAATAGTGTGTGGAGAAGACATCTGCTCTGAAGTCATTATTTTTTTGTAATCCAACATTCATGCACTTGCCACGTGGAAGATCACAGTATAGGAATTATTTAGATGATAACTTTGGCCAAAGCATAGCTACTGTTACAGGTTCTCTTTTGCTACCTGCAGGGCTATGATTGGATATCCACATCATAAATGCCGTGATTTTTTGTTTGTTTGTTTTTTTTTTTAAACTCCAGGGTTGAATTTGTAAAGTAGGCATTATAATAGAATCATTTGCCACTTATTTTTCTGAAAAAAAATCGACCAGCAACTAATTTTTGGACAAGAGATGAAAGATACTAAATGTTTGGGGCTAAGAAGATGGCTCAGTCAGTAATATGACAGCCTTGAAATCACGAAGATATAAAAACCTGAGTTTGGACCCCTGACACTAACATAAAAGTGGGTATGGTTGTGCACATCTGTAACCCCAGCACTGGGGAAAGGGCAAGGTGGAGAGGGATGAGGCATGTGGACTCTCAGGAGTTCACTGGCCAGTCAGTCTAGCCAACCAGTGAGTACTGGGCTCAGTTAGAGGCCCTTTCTCCAAAGTTAATATGGAGAGCAATAGTGGAAGGCATGGGATGTCTCATGTTGTTATCTGGCTTCTACCTGCACATGCAAAGATCTAAACCACATACACACACGCACACACTTGCACACACACACACACACATACGTACACACATACAGATACACACACTACATAGAACACACATGCACCACACAGTGAGATACATTCACCATATAGACACACACACACAGTTACACACATATACAGATATACTACATACCCAGAACACACACACACACACACCACAGACTCAGACACCATAGACACGGGACACATACACAGTTATAGGCAAACACCCCCACACACACACACTATACTACACAGACACTGTACAACACATACACAGATACACACACAACACACATACACAGACACACATAGATATGTACACACCACACACCCCATACTCATAAATACCACATGCAGAACACACACAAACAACACACATAACACATAGACACACGTATAGCACACACACACACACAGACACACATAGACACCATACACACCATACACTTATACTAAAAGTTTTTATCCCAAAGAGAGTAACTATTTAAAACCATTTTCCTTATTGCTTTTTATATAATGTATTGTCATTTTTCTTCCAATTCCTCCCTACTTCCCTACCACCACCCAATTTCATGTTCTCCCCTTCTCTTTCTCTATCTTCCTCATGCACAAGCAGAAAATGAAAATCAGAACAAACCTGCAAAAAATAATGAAAACAAAACACCCCCCCCATCGTTGAATTCACTTAATGTTGGCCAGCTACTTGGGCACAGAGCCTGCTGGGAGTGTGGTTGATAAAACTGCTTTGGTCTTTCCCAGTAGGTATCTATTGAAAATAGCTGCTCTGCTCATCCCATCCTATTTTCATCCTTCTGTATATTTTTCTTTTGAAATATATTCCAGGAATAAATCAGAGGGGGTGCTCTCAATTTACTCAGGAGAAATGCATTTCTGCCCTCTTTGGAAAAACTCCTCAGTCTGTGTACTCATGACCCCATAAGAGCTAGGTGGTTTCCATCACAATGTAGGATATAGGTCTTAGGAAGGGTCACTCCAAATACCCACAGTGTATACTCACAATCTAAGCCTTAAGAGTGATATAGTCTGTAAGAACACTTCTTGCCTCACAGAGGCTTTTCACATAGTACAGTATAGCTCAGTACATTAAAATTCGTGCCTTTTCATTTCTTAGGTTGAGGAGGATTTCAAATTATAGCTGTAACCCATAAGAATGCTAGAAAATTCTTGCCCAATTTTTGTATCAGAAAACACCTTCTAATAGAAGTTATAAAAACATATTGGAAAGAATCCAAGGAAACTATTCTATTCAGGTTTTATGTTTTTATTCCTGTACTGCCATTCTATTTCTTTCGGAACCTATGCCTGGGTCTTTTTTTTATTTTTGTTTATTTATTATTTGTTTATTTTTGCTTTGCATGGGAGTGATTGCAATAGCTCTTCTATTTAATTGAAGCACCGATGGAGAACTGCCAGCTGTCTATTATTATGCTGCTTGTCCTCATGAGCTACTCACATATTTTCAAAAGGATCCTTTCCCAAACTTGTATAAGAAGTTATTGTATATTGTTAAGTTCCTGTCTTAGGTATCTGCCCGGATGTCCCGCATTATCGGACAGTATCTCCCCACATCGTTCGCGCACTTACCGAAGCACAGTTTTCAGACTCGTCGTCCACAAACCCAATCTGGCAAGGCGTCCTCTGGTTCTGCAACCAGTAGTCCGTGGACTCCAGCAAGCTGTTGCTGCGAAGAACCTGGGGGAACACAGACAAGCCTTCCAGTGCTGCTCAGCAAGGCTTTCTGTCTAAGCAAGCAGCTTTCTGCTGAGAAACCTGTAGGTGTTTTCCCCCACCCCTTTCCTGCAAGCAGCTTGGTAAGGAAAAGAGGAAGGAGAAAGTCTTGGATTACCACAGCCTTAGAAAGTATAAACATTCTGCCATGAGCTGGCTTTATGTTTGTACCTATGCTCCTTTTTGTTCAAATCTAACACCCCAAACAGGAATGTGTGCTTGACTTTTGCGTAATGTGTAACCCGGAAACTACTTTTGGGTGATGCCCACCTGTCAGTGGGCATAGAAGTTTCATTTATAGTTAATGTTCTCTTACAAATTTGAATACTTTTGATTTAAAAAATTCATGTTTTTATTTTCAGTGCATTGCCTATTCTTTATTCCCTTGATTGCATTAGCATAGGTGTGAAATAGGGCACAATTCTAGAATACCTAAGGTACCAGGCTGTTAAAAATATTAATAATTATACAGTTCCATTAGTAAAACCATTTTTTCCATTTAGAAATAGTAAGCCAAAGCAAAAAGAAATTGAACACACATATCAATAAAGCCATATATCACTTATAAATGCAGGTTTTGGCCTTGGGTTTCAAAGCAAAGGTGAAAAGCATTTTTTCAGAGCCAAATATTTTAAAGACACAATTTCTTAAGTAACCAAATGACTCAGTTTGAATATGACTTCCAGTGTTGTTATGGGTCTCTTTTAAGGTGAGTGTCTGTTAAATTGTGATTACAGCCTTCCCTGAAGCAATGTAACTGCCTTGAGCAATTCAGTTAATGCCTGGAAAATAGAATTTAATCACAACAACATATTATCTCTTTTATCCTATAAAAGCAGAAATGTATTAACTTTGTTTTAGAACAGAGTTAATATAAATCCTGAAACTGTCTTCTGTAGTATTTTCCCCCTAGATTTGTGATCTGACTTAGGTACATCTTCCCTTTCTACATTTTTACCTAAGGATGACAAACCTTCATCTTTCTTTTGAAATAATAAAAAAGATAGTTTGTATGTGAGCAGGTGACTGAGTGGTGAGCTTGCTTCTATTTCTGCAGACTAACACTGGCAATGGGACTGACTTCTCACTCCTCTTAGATTCTGCCTATAGTGCCGACACAGATAACATTTGCTGTTTCAATACTCATTATCTCTGGGTATTCAATTGTGTTTCTAGAGACAGTATGACCTGTGCTGGCCCAGAGAATTGAATGCAGAAGCACTAAGGAGAACCAGTTGTCTCTTAAGTCAGAAGTTGAAGTGATTTGCAAACATTCAAAATAAACACATATTCTCCTCATCCAAAAGTTTTTTTATGTTTTGGAAATCATATGGTTTAATTAATAAATATGTTATCAAGTGCTTAACATTTTATAAATAAGCATGTTAAACCTATGGAAGCAGGGGCTAGAAAAATAGTTCTGTGGGAAAATGCTGGGCATGAGGACCATCCCCAGAACCCATACAGAAAAGCCAGGCTATCTCAAAGGAAGGGGAGATGGCACCAAAGGAATGATGCTTGGAGTTATATTCTGGCCTCTATGTATATATGTCTGTGGGGACCTGCACACATATGGGTACACACATGGGTGTAACACATACACACATCTCAAGGAAACAAAACAAAGTACAATGAAAACTCTGAAATAAATAGACAAAATAAATCTAAACTATTGTATATGCCAAAAGGAATTTTAAGTTCTTTTAATCACATTTTTAAAATATTTATTTTAAAAAATCAGGAATGTAGATTAACTTACTTAAAGCAGAAAGGGGCCTCTAAATCCCCAAATATTGCCATTCCTTTTCATTTCCAGACAGAATAGAGTTTGCAAATCATTTTTGAGTGGGAGTTTGGCCACTAACAGCAGGCCAAGTGGGGCCAAGTGATGTAATCTATGCTTTTCAGCTTCCTTACCTATGAGAAGGGATCAAAAAGCACGAGGGTTGACTGAGGAGCTGTGGTGGGAAGAGGGAGGAGTCCATTGAAGAGCTGTGCTGGGAGCAAGGTGGGACCCACTGGGGAGCTGTGGTGCTGGGAGCTGGGAGATGGTTGCTGAGGAGCTGTGATGGGAGCAGTGAGGGGTTCACTGAGGCGCTGTATGTGAGCCATTCAAGAGGTGGGTTATTTTCTCAGAACATGGTTTTGTTACGATTTGAAGGGAACTATAAACAGTGATAGAAATTTGGAAGATATTTCCCTAAAATTAGGAAAATGAAATAACTTCAGATGTATGAAGGCAAGTTTTCTTTCATAAATATTCTGGACCGAGGTGTAATTTGTGAACTTTGTAGGATTGGTAGTGACAGCCAATATTTCTGGCAGGGTTAGAAAATTCTGAAACTGAAGTTATTAAAATTCACCTAATAATTGTTGTAATGTTACTATTTCATAGACAAAGGTTTTCACAGAATTTATGATTTTTTTTAACAATAAGGTCTTAGAGGCTCAGATGGTTTGGGGGTTTAGGGTTTGGCTCTGCATGGTTCGGATTTGGCCTTGATTTAGTCTGGAGGGCACCAAGGTCTGTTTTTCAATTCCCCAAACATAGCTGTATTCCACACCTCCCAAATGGTCCGATCTGAAGTCCTTCTGAAACATCTCCTACTGTCCAATTTTTCTAAGTAAAAGTGCATTTTATGTACTTTCATTTAAGTTCAGGTTTGCCTTGTTAAAATTCCTGGGTAATATTTTTCTTTAAGAAGGAGAAACTTTTGTGGTGTAAATGATATAACTGAATTAATCCACTTAGTGATAACATGCTATTATAATTTCTCATAGGAAGCATGGTTTTAAAGCCTACTCGAGCTATCATTAGAAAACTGATACCACGTGCTTGCTCCTGGCCTTTCTTTGATCTTCTGGATTTGCAAGGTTATCAGTGAAACAAAAAAAAAAAAAACTTATTAATTCTGCATCCTAGGAACATTAGAGCTTAAACTACAGGCATCAGATGAACACAGAAGCTAATCCTACTTTATAAAGCAGTTCAATAAACCTAATCGGAATCAACTCTTCATCGTTTCAGGGCTCATTCTTCAAAAACTATGGTATGGACAGATTCTGACTCACAAAAGGCATATAATCTTGTGGTCCTTGCAAAATGTTTCGATTGTCACATCAGCATTTGACTGATCTTTCGACTAGATGAGCTTGAGGAGTAAAGGAGTAGTTGAATTGCAATTCATTTGGTCCTTTCAGGGTATGCAAAGTTGACACACTTTCTTAATGGTGGTTAGGGAGTGACAAAAGTCAGCCTGCTACTTGGCCACATGCCAGCTGAGGAAGCAGCTTTCTGATGCAAAGCGAGCCAGCCTGTTACTTGTGTTTAGTAATTTCTTCTTTTTTTTCCCTCCGTTTTTGTGTATGTATGTGTATCTGTTTGTGTGTGCATTTTTACATGTGTGTTGGCATGCCTGTGTATGTACCTGTGCACATGGTGCACATAAATATGGAGGTCCAAGACTGATGTCAGGGATCATTCTTGATTGTCCTTTCATTCTTCATTGATTAGGATCTCTTAATCAAACCCAGATGTCACCAATGAGGCTCATCTCTCTAGCCAAGTTTTCTGCGGATGGTATATCTCTGTCTTCTGAAGCTGGAATTACAGAATGTCCTATACTCCTTCCATTTACACAGATGCTAGGGATCTACACTGCAGTCTTTATTCTTGTGAGCCAAACATTTTAATCACTGAACCATTTGCCCAGCCTGATTAGAATTACTTATACTATACTGTGAACTTCGAGATAAAACTCCTCATGTATTATTTGAATTAAAGCTCTAGACTTGTGGGGTACAGTGTGAAAGCTAACATATATATATATATATATATATATATATATATATATATATATGAGACAGTTCCTGCCATATAAAAGTACCCAACCAACCATAGCCATCTTTTAAAAGTTATTATTCTCTTTTTCCTTGATCACAGAGGCCAAAATTTTGTTTAGCATAAAGCAGCAGCATTACAGCCATTCTAGGAGATATCAAGGCCTTGACTCAAGCTGTAGTCTTTCTATGTTAGTGATATCTCCTGAACCTCACATTTGGGTCATCTATTCTAATGTAAGGATTTGCAGTCTGGGTGATTCAAAAGTTCTGTGCCAGTTCTGATTCTCTGTCAGCTAACTCTTATGTCCTCCTAGCTTCTAGTCCCAGTTAAACTGGGTAAAACAAATATATCAGACTATCTCAGGTAAGCACCACCCTTGTACACAGCATCATGTAGTATTCCCTTTCACGCTCCTAACTCCTTTCCCATTTATTTTAGTAGTTCAACAAGATGGTGGTGGTGCACACCTTTAATTCCAACAGAGGCAGAGGCAATGGTAGAGGCAGAGGAATCTCTGAGTTTGAGGCAAGCCTGATCAGCAAAGGGAGTTCTAAGATACCCAGGGCTACACAAAGAAACCTTGTCTTTAAAAAAGGAAAGAAAAGGAAGAGGCAGCTGGAGAGGTGATTTGGAGGCTGAGTACCTGCTGCTCTTTCATAGGACCTGAGTTCATTTTCCAGCACCCATTTTGAGTGGCTCACATGGTAACTACAGTTCTAGGGAACACAACACCCACCTCTGACCTCTATAGGAACCTACATATACATACTGCACATGTACAATCACACACACACACACACACACACACACACACAATGTGAGAATGTTTTTCAAAGAGTCTGATTAAAGAACAAGGAAAGAAAACAAAGATGATAGCTTCAGTGAGTTACCTATTATAGTGTGTTAAGCAATTTTAAAATATCTTTTTGTCTAATGGTTTGGACAAAGGACTAGAAGGAGTGTTTGAAAAAAAATATGTTCTTGAACATTTAATATTTTTGAAGCTTATGAATATAGCTTCCTGCTGAGGGAGTCATTTTGAGTGGGAAAAGAGAGACGCTCCCCAGGTTCTCCATGGCTCATTTAGTTATCTGCTATTTTTAGTTCCCGGCTTGCTTAT